GAAATACAAAAATATTACAACAGTCACAAAATACACAAATATCAAAACTTACATGTGTCATCCATTAATAAACTCCATTGCTACAAAACTTAAAAAATTGCATGGAGGTTAACCTTTAAAAAAAAACAAAACACAAATCAAAAAAATAATAAAACGAGCTGTCATAAATTAACATTAAATTTCAAAAAAAACTAAACACAAATTGACAGCTCAACTCAAAACCAAAAATTTACTTTAAAAAAAAAAACGAAAGCAATTATTATTTTAAAAAAGTGTTTGTCTTCACTTTAAAATTAAACAAACACCTAAAAAGTTACCTGGATTTCACTTGATCACACATTAAGTTTCTGAAACCATAACTGGGGTTCTCTGGACACGAACACACGAACAAAATCATCTCCACTGTGAATTGGATCGACCATTTGAGGCCAAAGCCGGCACTGAACAAAACTTATGGCTCTGCCTCTTAAAAAAACAGGGACAGGTAGAATTGGACTATAATTATACCTTAAATTGCCACATTTAACTGCTACTTAAATTATTTTCCATAACGAAGAACAAAAGGACATTACAAATTCTTCATGAAAAGAAAAGAAAACAGAACACTTTACAAATTCGACGAAAAATTTGGACATAACGCTGAACCGCCTTGGAACGCGGTCCAAACGAGAGTAAAGCAGAGATTTTCCTCCGCAAAAATTGGACGCAAATCTTAACAAACACTTATAAGAATGCCGACATAGTTTTCCTTTGCGACGCATTTACATGAAAAGAAATCGCCGCAGTAAAATAAACAACAATTAAATGGATTTATTACTCTACGACGTTAAGGTACGTATACATATGCGCGCCGCTCGGCGCGCGCGCTGTTCGTTTGTAGCATGTTCGTTAGGTTAGTACGTGTTTGCAAGAGGCGCACAAACGGCGCACATACGGCGCACTACGATCCACCTTCTGTCGGTTTTTCAACGAACACTTTGGTGGTTCGCATTACATATTTGGACGGGTTAGTGAAAGGTGTGTTGATTTTTGGCGCGTCTGAGTATTATAATAGTATATTATCTTAAAATATTTGGTAGTAATGGAGTGGTCAGAAGAAAATATTATCAAACTTATTGATGCTTACCGTGGGAAATCCCTATTGTGGGATCCTCAACATAAGGACCATTTTAAAAAAACCACTTAAAGCCGATGCCTGGAGGGAAATAGAAGCTGAAATAAATATACATGCGGACCAATGTAAAAAAAAGGTGATTTCCTTGTTGTCTTCTTACCGACGTGAAACACACTGGCCATTACCAAGAAAGCACCACTCATCACAGAAATAGCGTAAGTTTTATCGCTTGACAGAGACATGATTATCTACAATTACTAAATGTTCGTCAGTTTTCTTTGGATCGCGGAAGGTTCGTCAAAATGAAAAATTTCAACGAACATTGAACGCGCCACGAACGCGCGGCGCATACAAGGCGCGAGGTTCGCGGCGCGCATATGTATACGCACCTTTAGAATGATTGAAAACACTTTCGAAAGATACGAGCTAAAAAACAGAAAACATTCTTCGTTTTATTAAGACGATTTCATATACGAGGCGACTTTAAATATACTTCAAAGAATCAATCAAATTTAAAATGCTACATGTTATATATTAATTATCTCCCTTGACCTGTTAAAAAATATTTGTGTTAAAGATGATCTGAATAGTTGTTCAACATGCAAAACATTAAGGGATATACTCCATTTAAAAACACTGTAACATTGCACTGACACTAAATACACGAAGTTTTGAAGAAAAATATAAATGTTAACATGTAGTTTCCCCCTCATTGATCACCATCATTGAAATATTAAGCATACTTGAATCTGCTATTGCAGGATACATTAAGAAAGATAAAAACAAACAGTGACTTGTTTAGCTACACCTACTGCAATCAGGGATGACCTATTGGGTCCTTTATATTTTGAGTTACCTCGTACTATTTCATTTTCATTTTAAAGATACATTTGATCTCCAACAACGTTCAAACATCGCATGTCTCGGCGCATAGTCTATACCTTCTACCTTGTTCCCTAGTTGTTTTTCAAATCGACGATTTTAAGACGCAATTATTACAGACAAAGCGTTATTCGCTTTCTATAAGACTGTATAAACAAACAGTTATAATACTTTAATACATAGATTAAACCCTTATACCAGATGGAACAAAAAAATGCTACAATTTATACAGATCGATAGAATACCAGATAGAAAAGTTTACATATTGCATAATATTACTTTTGCATGATTTTATAATATTTCTAGTCAACACAGTCCTTTGAAACTTGTGCTCGTCTTTTTAATAATTGCATGTAAATGTTATATAGGACATTGTAACATATAAATCGCTATACAACTTAAACATATTAATTTGTGTCATTTTGGGAATATATTTTATGATGTCTTTGTTTGACGAATGTATTTTTAATGTTTTCACCGCTTTGTCTAACATTAATTATTTATTTACGATTAGTTTAGTATTATACATTTCATTTAAATTTTAAATTTGAATCAATTTTGGACAGTTTTTTTATAATTTTCTTGTGTTTATAAAAGTCTTTATTGAATTTGCGCTGATTTTGCCGCATCATCACCACTATCATCATAGGATACACATATGTAGGTGAGTCTTGGAGTCTCACCTACAGTCTCGCATAAACAAATAGATGACATCGAAGATATACACGCAGCTTGCGTTTATGTCTTCGATGTCGTCTATTTGTTTTAGCTGTATTTTTATGCTAGCCTCCTGTGGTACATTTCTCTTGTACAGTCGCTCCACAGTGATTCTACATTGAATTTTCCCTCGATAATTTCCTGTAGAAAATATTTTGGGGTTATTTTCATTCTTATATTTTGCTAGTAGTAGTTTGTGTTCATTCCCTGCGTCGGCTGAGTTTAAATTTCGGATATCTAGAATCTGCTTTGGGTGGATTTTTCTATTAGTGACCATAAAATCAATCATAGATTTGTGCCTCCTGGAGTTTTCAAATGTATATTTATACTGGAGCTTATTGTCGGAAAATGTCTTAAAAGTCTTAATAATCTTAAATGGCAAATTTACCTCTTTTGATGGTTGCAATCCAATTTTTCTCGGTCGAATGCGAAGGACATTGATCGTCAAAGATACTAAGCATATCTTGGTGAATCTGCTTTAGTCACAATTACGCAATTTTATCGCGCAACTCTGGTTTGAGTTTTTGACGTTCAAATTTGCACTGACACTTCTAATAAATTATGTTTGGTTGCTGTGGTAACTCAATAGTTTCTATATCCAGTTAGGTTTTCAGTTGCACAAGAGCATCTAACATAACTTAACAACCATTTACGTCTTTACGTGTTTTCCGAAGCACGATGACGGCTCGTACATTTCTAAAATTGAAAATTTCGTTGTCGTTCTGACTAGATATGCCATTCAATCATTTTCTAAGTGGTTTTTCCTATTTGCGTTATTTTTAACAAGAGCTTCGAACAAATATGTCAAATTTGTTAAATTATTTTTTTTTGTAACAAAATATGTTTGTTGTATTTTTCCCAAATTATATTTATTTTTTATATTTAATAAAAATATTTTAAATATATTTTATAAAGGTGTTGGGTATAAATATGTAGCTCATAACTTTTTTTAACTATATTAGATAAAGACTTTAATTATTGTGATATTTCTACTTTTAACAAATATCCTAAAATTGACGCTTGTGTTGTAAAGCTTTCTTTTTAGATTTGTACTGCTATTTTTGTATTTTTTTTTTGTAATATATGTCTACACCTTCTTCTTACTATTTCTTTTAACCACACTTTGCATGATACTCTATGCTTATGTTATATAGAAGTTGTGTTTTTTATCAAAAGCGCTATTTAGATTTAAAAATCACATAAATTATACTAACTATCGAGGTGTGCTAGCGCTGGTGAAAATAAAGTTTAAAAAAACTAATATACATATGGAAATATACAGATTACGACATTGTTTTATTGACCATACAACACATTGGCAATCGCCGTGACATGTTTCCACCTCTATATTCATTTTACAGTGGGTACGAATTGTCATCATTGTCACATTGACATTAACAATTTCAAACGAAGTTCTGAAAGAATAAACAAATAATTAATGAAAAGTGCAACTTGTAACATGGTACTTTCAGGGTCATTCGATACGCGAAGTAATTGATTTATTTATTGTTGCTTTCGTAAATAGACCCCCACCAAGCGTTACAACAGTTAAAAATACCATTAAACATTTTCAAACTTCGGGGATATGTAAACAGTTATAAAAAGTGTCATGACGGTAATGAACCACGTGTTACACCTGTCGATGTGGAGCGTCAAAACAGGGATATTGATATTTATGCTTTGTGGAAGCTAGTGAACCCTGCAATAGTGTACAAATTGCTAGGGAAGTTAACGTGAATGCTCGAACTGTTCAGCGAGTTCTCAAAAGAAATGGGTATCACTGTTTTAAGATACAACCAACACAAGAACTGTTTTCAGAAGATAACTTTAGGCGGATGGAGTTTTGTGAATTTATGTTAGATAAACAGAATGAAAATGTACACTTTTTAAAAAATATTTTATTTTCTGACAAATCTTCATTTTCATTACATAAAAAACACAATTCATTTAAAAAGAAAATGAATATTTTATCATCGTTTAAAAATGTGTAACCCTGGTAGAAGTGGCATTATTAATAACCTAATTAAACATTTTGAATAACTAATTATTATTTTCATTTTAACATCAGATTAGAAATATTTTTATTTTTTTAGAAATATCTTATCTGCATTTAAATGTACATTATATTTGGATTCTCCCCTGTAACAATAGTTCAAATCAAAAGCATGCTTATTGCACGTGCCCCAATTCATCGATTTTATGTAGTAAATATGTGGGAGTAAGGTTATGGTTTGATAAACGAAACATATTTTCAGTAAATAATGCATGTTATTTGTTGTTTCAACAGGACAAAATCACCCAGCAAATCAAGAGGGCCGCCGTTTTCTTCGGAAGTTACAAAACGAACAGAGGACAACCATTCTCTCCTCCGAGAAGATTCGCCGCCGCCGATTGGATTTATCGGCCTTTCAAACACCTTTTTCGGCAATTTTAAGGGATTCTCGATAATTCCGTTGAAAAATGAAACTCAACCGAGTCGATCTGCTCCTCCACCCCCAGTTATTGTACCCGCAAAAAGTAAGTCATCCACTTCGAAGCCTGCTTCTAAACCGGCAGCTACTCAAGAAACCAAACATAGCATATTTTCGAATCCCATACAGAAGTATAACTCCTTTAGAAAGAGCAACGTGCCAAACGGTATTGTTACTGTAAATCAAGTGTCTTCGGCACCAGCTTTGCCTCCACCTAACCCAGGAAGCCACGCCAAACCGATAATTTCATCTCCAATACTGGAAAATTCAACCTGTACTGCAAAAGAGCTTGTATCACCGTTACGAAACGCTCCAAAGCTTCCTATTCGGGCAGCACCTCAAGCACCTTCTATTGAAATCACAAGACCTTTATCTACACCAAATACTCTTTCTAGTACTGTCTTGTCAGTAAATATCATAGAAGAACCAAAAAAGCCTAAAGAAAGTGTGAGTACCAGTACTTTAAATAGAATAACTTCTTTTCTTAAACCTGCCGATAAAAAGCCCACGGTTGTATCAAAACCTAGTCAAGTGAAAGCTACTAAAGTTCTTGATAAGGAGTCGCTTCGAAATATAGAAATATCTAATCCTATTCCACAGAAAAATATTGAAATTAATGTATCTACTCTTCCTGTGGACAGTGCAACAACAAAAAACGTTGTAATGAGGGCACAAAGTATGCGCGCTACAAAACAGACTGACAGGCCCAGTATTCAAACGTTTGGATCCATGAGACAGCCAAATGGCTACAAGAGACCACTCAGTATACCTTCAGGAAGCCGTCCTAAAAATCCTCCACCACCTCGTCCACCGTTAGAAAAATCTCAAGAAAAATCGGAATGTGATCAGTCCGATCAGTACGATGATTGTTTAAACGAAGAAGTCCCTCTAGCTACAGGCACTACCAGTAGTCCTAGTGGTGATAATATTTATGCTGTTATAGAAGACTCTCCTGTAGTATCACCGGAAAGTAAACCTAGCAATTCAGGTTCTAGCGAAAGTATGGGCTTACTAGGCGAGATTGTTAATGAAATACAAAGTAGAAATTTTGATTCAATTTATTCAACATCAACTTTGGCTCGAAAGAAGAAAGAAGAAGAGGAGAAGAAAAAAGCGCAGTTATCTCCTGATTCTTCAGAGACGTACGTGAATACAGCTTCTCTGCAGTATCCAGAAAGTGAATACAGTAATATGAGTGGTAATATTAAGTCAAGTGCTAGTTCCACTTCTAGTGGCTACATTTTGCCATCTGCTATAAATATTCCGGTAAAGGAAGAGGCAAAATCAAAAGAAGAACCTAAACCTAGTTTAAGCTCTTTTAAAGCAGACTCAAAACCTGCTGTTGTAAATAAGCCTCTGGCATCGGGGTTTAAGCCCAGTCAAGCCAATTTGAAAAAAGTAGAAACATCACCAGAAAGAAACAAGGCGAAGGTACTTTCATCCCCTACTAGTAAAACGGCCCCAAAATCCGTAAGTAGGCAAATAACGCCGCCAAACTTACGTACTAGAAAACCTTCTCCAACAAGGCCTACTGCTCCTGTACATAAATCCAACCGATCAGTAACCAACAGCCCCGATTTAGTAACGAGCTGTAACACCAACTCTTCATCAAAACCTCCCGACATCGTTGGAACGAACTCGGTTAATAAAAAACCTTCCATAACAAGTGCTAAACCTACAGTGCCCTTACCTAAAGTTAAAAGTAACCCTAAGGCAGTTAACGCTAAGGTATCGCAGGATAAGAAAGGCGAGACCAAACCAGTGGTAGCTAATAAACTCAACAAGACTAATTCGGATAGTACTGCGAAAACGTCGGTCGGTGTTAGAAATGCAGCTAGGTCGAACTCTAATGTTGCTTCGCTACAACAGAAATTCGAAAATAAAACGTAAAGGCGATGATGTCGAAGAAATTACCGTTTTATAACAAGACGAGTGCTACGGGAAATGGTAAGTCGTAGTAATGGGACACAAAACGAGTACGTATGCTTTCCTCATTTTAGTTATCGGATAAAAGATGTTGGAGGATGGTACAGTCAATTGTTAATAGTCTTCTGTATTATCTACTTAATTTAATAGGAAGCAATCACACTTTTAATTAAAAATATTTTTATTTTCAATTAAAATTGTGATTTATTCCCATCAAGTATAGCAGATAAAATAGAAAGGCCGTCAGAAAATATGTTCAAACCATGTTTTTCTGTAGGTACATTCCAATAATTTAAAATATATTTTCACAAAATTGGCGAATGAGATTTGTTTATATATTAATAATTACAATTATTATTAACATTAGAATGACTGATGTGTAGATACCTTCTGTAATGACTGAGGGGATCGTTTTAGCATTATTAGAAGACATTGTGTCTGTTCAAATTGTAATATCACAATCAACTTTTTAATTTATTAATCTTCACGTAAAGTATTTTAAAATGTGAAAACATTTTTTAAAATGTTTCCTTTATTTTTATAGAGCTTTTATAGATATTTATTTTCATTCGAAGGTTCAGTATGATAGTGTGAACAGTATTAAAAAACAAAAATCGCATATAAAAGTGTCATCATCATCTTCACAGCTTGAACAAGCTTCATGTGCCAAGACATCACATTTTCAGCACCGAATCCAACCGTCCTGATCGAAAGTTTTTGTACATCTCGTTGCAAAAAATGCAAGCTTCTTCGTCTTCTTCTTCCTCGTCTTCATTTGAGGACGTATCAGAATCTTCAGCCTGACACTTTTTAGTTTTACGCTTATTTTGGATAGACAAACCATTGTTTTGTTTCATTTTCTTGGACAGTAGCAGGACTGGTTCTCTAGTCTTTCTGTTATTTAATAGATTATCACTGGAAGTCGCAGATTTTTTATTTTAGTTGAAAAGGTCTTTTTTGTGTTTACCTTCTTGTTTCTCTTGGCGCTCCTGTTCTTCGGCCTTTAGTTCAGCCTTGTATGGTGACGATCTTAATATGACAGTTTTATTGTTCCTCTTGTTACTATTCCTTTTTACACGCTCCTTTTCTTGGGGTGGGGGCATCAAAATTTTTGGTGAAAGCAGAAAAGCTGATTTGGCTGACGTAGACCCATCTGTTGAAGTGGAGGGCTCAGGAGAAGTCTCTTTACAAGGCTCAGGAGAAGCGTCGTTAGAAGGCACAGTTCCGCTTGAAAAAGTAGTTGTTCTGTGGTATCTAACGGGGCAAATAGGTAATCAGGGAATACATCTCTATTGAAAGTATATATTCCTGTTTTTTCAAATCTCCTTCACTGCAGTTTGAACATTAGCTGCTCTTGAAAAAGCAGCATTGACTAGTTGTCCAATTTGATAAATTGTAACACCCCTGCCAGGGTGATTAAGCAACTATTTTTTAACCTCTTGTGCATAAAATGTACTAAGTGGTGCCATAAATGAGACATCGAGCGGTTGTAATCGATGTGCGGTGTGTGGTAGAAAACATAATAATATAACGTTATTTTCCCAAACAAGATAAAGGAGTTCTAAACTTTTGGTATGGGAACTGTGACTATCAAGAATAAGCAGCACTGGTTTTTGAGGTCCGGGATTAGAAAACTCAATAAACTTTTTAAACCATACAATAAAGTTTTCTTTGGTAATCCGTAGTACAGTCTCGTAATACACTGCAGATGACCCTGGTAGGGCACCATTCATTAAGAGGCATAAAATTCCTGTCATAAAATTCCCTGCAGCATTCATACAGGTTTCTAAGGTCACCAGTACACCTCGTTCTGCTGAGGACAAACAACCCACTTGATTTTTACCACGCAGATCAAGGATTCTGAAAAGCTTGTTAGGTACAGTCATAATGCCGGTCGGATCTACGTTGTAGATATCATTGGGTGATAAATTGTGTTGCGTATATAAAGATTCAACAAATCAAAAAATTTCTTTACTGCTGCTCGATTAAAACCTTTTGCTACTGCTGAAGTTTTTTCAGGATTACGTAATGCTAATATTGGTGATTACGGGGTGCTACGATAAGAATGCTGAGTGGCTATGTATTTAACACCCTATTATACGGTGTAGAGGCCTGACTCTCAAACAGAACAACATGAAAAATATTGAAAGTTCGAGATGTGGTGCTACCGTCGAATGCTGAAGATTAGTTGGTTGAAAGAATAACAAACTGTGAAGTAAATACGAAGAATAGGAAAAGACCCTAGATTTTGTTAACGCTAAAGCGAAGAAAACTCGAATATTTTGGTGACCTGATGAGAGGACATAAATACGCATTACTTCAAAATATAATGCGGGAAAAACAGAAGGAAAACGGAATCCAGGCCGTAGACAGAATGTCATGGTTGCGGAATTTGAGAGAGTGGTTTTGCTGCACCACAATGAACTCTTTAGGTCAGCCGTAAACAAGGTCAGAATAGCCTTGATGATTTCCAATCTCCGATAAGGAGTGGCACAAAAAGAAAAGAATTAGGGGTGCTGCCATAGCAAGCCATAAAGGCACATGTTTACCAGCCATTTTCTTATTTTCATTAAACACGTGTGGAATGTGATTTTTAACGGCTAAATCGAAAGCTAGTTTTCTTAAATCTGTTAAGCTAAGGCCAAATAATCTTTCTTCTAAATATAAAATATAATATTTTTTTGTGCTTCGGAAAACACAGTCTTAAATCTGCCTAATCTTTTTTCTGCAGCTTCTTTCGAACTCAATCCTTTTTAATTACTATTTAACTGGCGAATAATCCAAAATTAAAGATAAAAATACGTTTATTGACGTTTCAATTTCCACTTCGGAAATTCGAGAATGAGTGTTAAACTATTCACTTTTCTTGAGGTTTTCGAGATTTCATGTGTAGAAATACTTGAAAAATACCATGTCAGTACTAAACTTTACCAAATTTTTCATATTAGATAAGAAAAACACAACTTTATCAAATTCATACACAGATGGAAGTTGCTAGTCGTAATTCATGGATTTTAGCCATTGTCAAAATGTTCATATGACACCGAAAACTGTCCTGATGTAAAAGGATTTTTTTCTTCTGCAAACCGGATCTTTTTCACGATTTTTTTCCTTCAGTTGGTCTAAAATTTGCTATTTTACCAGTTTGCAAGTAATCCATAAACAAAATTCTTTCGCATCACAAAAAACTGATGTTAACATCTCTTTGGCCGATTTATGGACACGAACTCGTTTCGGAGCCCAAGAACCAGGTTTACACCACTCTTTCGCATTTTGTTTTTATTCAGGATCAATCCTCAACAAACATAAGTCCTGTTAGTGACTTTTCATTTATCAAACAGTTAGTAATCACACAATGATAAATATGACTGTAAGACGGATGTTATAAGTTTTTTTATTTCATCCTTTTACATAAATCTTGTAGTTAATGAGCCACATAACTAGCTCCAGGGAAGGCCAAATGTTTACCTCTGCGTCAAAATTCAACTTTAGTCCTTTTAGTGACTGCTTTAATGTACCTAACACTTGGGAATCACACGGTGATAAGTTAGGAGTGTAAGACGGATGTTCTAAGTGTTTCTGTTTCATATTTTCACATAGACCTTGTACTTTATGAGCCACATAAGAAGTAACTAGCTCTAGAGAAACTCGAATGTATATCTTCGCGTCAAAATTTAACATTAGTCCTTCTAGTGACTGCTTTAATATACCTAACACTTAGGAATCACACGGTGATAAGTAAAGACAGTAAGAAAGATGTGCTAAGGCTTTCACTTTTATTCTTTCAGCTAGATCTTGTACTTTATGAGCCACTTAAGAAGTAACTAGCTCCAGAGAAGGCCAAATGTTTACATCCGCGTTAAAATTTATCATTAGTCCTTTTAGCGGGTGCTTTACTTTAAAAAACACTTAGGATTCACACGGTGATAAGTCAGGACTATCAAAAGGATGTTCTGTCTTTTCACTTCATACTTCCAAAATATATCTTGAACTGTGTGTGCCACATGCGAAGAAAAGAGACCTAGAGAAGACAAAATACAATAGTTTTGACATATTTCCTTTTGATATATAACAACCCCTTTACATGACAACGAAATCACCGATAACCTGATAAAATTGAACAATTATAGTTAAAATAGGAGCGTATTTTAAATCACTTGATTGACACTATACAACACCCTTTGGTAGATAGTAAAAATGTGATGAAAAATTGGAAATATTACTGTGTTCACATAAATAACTAATTTTAAGAAAATTTCTTTAATTTGTCGAATTTATGCAAAAATTTAAAACCTAAAATCTCTCACCAATATCTATGAAAATATCTTTAAAATTGTCGAAGCGATGCAGACAATTTCACATTTATATGGATCTTAACGCTTCTATTTTTCCATTGCCTACGTGCTCGTATTTGTCCTATTACTAACGGACTGCTAAGCGTGAATCCGGTATTCGCTGGTTGTATCTCTGACTAATAATCAAATGTTATAGCTAAATACCCTTTGATGAAAAAGTTTATTTAAGAGTTGCGTCAAAATAATCAAAAATAGTGAGTTTCATCAGTCAGTAAACTTTGACAGTTTGGATAAATGTTGTAGATTTATGTTCATTTATTAAAAAATATATAAATGATTTACACTAAACATTTTATTCATGGGAATAAATCATAATTTCATTTCAAATTTTCAAATTCATTTCAAATTTCAAAAAATTTCTGAAATAAAAATTGTAAAATGATATTTACACTTAGGAAATTTCATTTTACATTGCGAAAAAAAGTCACAAAACCAGTCAACCTGTCGAACCTTGGCTTCGTATCGTTATTTTACGTAATTTTCGTCCAAATCGAGTTTCCGCTGTTTTTTAGATTTGTAGCCTAAGTGGTTTTTTTTTCTATTATCTCGGAATGGCCTACTAAAAAATGATATGCCTAAATTGACCCGAATATACTCTTTCAAATTAGCATTTCCATGTTACATGTAACACTTTGTAATAACCAGGCCGACTTTTGATAGTAACAAGGCATTTATTTAGCATGGACACTACACAAATACAAAAAGTGACTCTTGGAAAACACAATAGATTGAGAAAAAAGACAGACATACCACGTCATAAATATGTCCCTCATATGCTTGGTTTGTGTTTTCTTGCACAATATTAACTAAGAATAAGATTTAAAATAAATCACTGCGTGTAGCAAATTAAAAGAAAAATTAAACAACTGAACCAAAACCATTTTTAAAATTGCTTGGATATTTCTGACAAATCCATGGTCAAAGTTTACTGAATGACAATTTATAAGAATATCCTGCTGTGCAGGATTTCTATTATACAATTGTAGATACATACAAATAACACTGTTATTGATTACAATTTCAGTTGATGAGTTTGTATAGGTATAGAACAAGTAAAGATACAGTTTTTTGCGGATTTGACCTTTTATTTTTACAGCCATAATCCTCCTATGGATTATATTACCACAAGAGAGATTATAGTTTTAAAATACGTTGAGCCATTCATTGGTGCGTGCTGAGATCCTTGACAGCTAGAATGAAGAGGCTTGAGAGCTAGAAATACTATATCTTTACTTACACTATAATAATATTTCAGGATCTCGTCTTTGGTAATGTCCCGGAAGAGTTGTGTCTTATTTAAATATTTTTGAACTATTTATTGTTAATTTAGTAAGACAGAAATACTCATCTAATGGTTTTACGAGATTTTGAAATAAATCTACTTATTTCTACTTTTGGTTGAAAATAAAGCTCTACTAACAATAATAAATACTTTTTTGTGGTATATGAAGTTTCCACAATTTATAAAGAGACTAGTGAATATATTGCAAAATTATTGAAAACACTGTTAGATTGATTTCTAAATGAAGAATTATCTAAAACATTTATATACATATATTTCCAAACAACATATCAGTGACTTGTCTCTGGTCATCTTCATCGCTCATCTCTGATATTCTACTAATATCGTAGTTCCACTTTCTGTTTTCTGTTGATCTGTATGTCTCTCTTTCTAGTTTTTATCCTTTTTTTTGCTAATTACATTGCTGTGTTCAATAAGATTTTGTTCGTTCAACATTCTTTAACCAAGTCTAGTCTAAGTATTGAAGACTGTCTAATAGTAATTGTACTTTGACCTTATGGATATGTGCGAAATGTGGTATTCAGGGATATTTTTGTTCTCACATGGGGCTAGGTCTGGCGAATATGGTAGGTGATCGAATAATTTGTATTTCGATTTATAAACCAAAGCGATTTTACCTCAAATCAAAGTCAAAACCAACCAATAGAACTGCAAAGTACGCGCCAGTTATTGCTGTACGATCTTTTAAGGTCTCAGTACCAATAATATTTTTTCTATATTAAAAAATACTTGTCATGACCTTTTCTTCTTTGTTTTATCTTGCTAAAAGATTCTGTGAATCCTCCACGTTTTAGGTCGAAAGTAATCCTATGCTATGTAACATATTTTGATTTTTCTACGAGAGCTGTGAAATTAGGACGTGCATTATCAATGATAATAGTTGAACCATGAACTTCAGCTTTTCAAAATTTCATTGTTGCTAATGTCAGAGCAAACCGTTGATTCCTTTTCATGACGGTTGAAATCAGACCAATCCATCGAGTTAGAATCTATGGAGAATCTATGATGCATATTAACATATGTATTAAAAACGGCGTAGGTAGGTGTGGCTAACGATAATACCAATATGGCGGTGATATCAGGGCCAGACTCAATAATCTTAAAACTAAAGTCACATATCTGAATAACTAGTCATATACCAATATGACTAGTTAATTCAGAAGATTTAATCATAATCTAAAAAAGTGCAATACTAATTTATTCTCTGAAGTACGGGCCATTACTTTGTTTACATATTTGTATACTAACCTGTGGAAACGATATTCCTGAAGATTTTTTTATTAACATTGCTTCTGCTACTGCAACTACGTTGAGAACAAGAAACCATTATTATGCACTATCACAATTTCAGTTTCTATAAAAGTATTAAAACTGAAAT